CCCCGGCCACAGCCCACCCGCCTCGGCCACAGCCCACCCGCCTCGGCCACAGCCCACCCGCCTTTGCAGAATAAGTTCCTTTTCCTTTAGAAAGATGTTTCTTAATCCTCAACCAATGATACGGTTTTTTTTTTATTGGTTTTAGAAGAGCGAGGAAGGGAGAAAAAGAAAGAAACATCCGTCAGTTGCCTCCGGTACACGCCCTGACCCAGGACCGAACCCACAACCTTTCAGTGTAGGGACAGCACCCCAACCGGCAGCCACCCGGCTTTTTGGGAACGAAGTCGGTAAAGCAAACACCAAGACCGCCTGATGGCTGGGGCTCGGGCTCTGTGCGGGGCCCGTCACAGCTCACGCCTCACGCACCGTTTCCCGAGTGGGTGTTCTTGGCGCTTGAGGGACCTGCCTGCTCGCCTTCCCAGCGGTGCAGGGTCCAGGCGGCACCAGGACAGTCGTGCGCACACGTTGGGTTTGGGTCTGGGCTGCATTCCGGAGCACAAGGCCGACGTGGCCAGGGAGATGTCGGGGGCCCTGGGCCGGACCCTCTTCCTCACCTCAGGCCTGGGAGGCGCAGGTGGTGCCACCGTGGGGCTGGGTGCCCTCTGCCGAGGCGCCTGTGCGGATGGGACCCCACTCCTGGCTCTGTGGCCCGGGGCCGTGCTGTGCACCCCTGTGAGGGTGAAGGCAGGGCCCAGTGTGTGTCGGGAAGAGGACGGACCCCACACCCCCGGCCTCAGCGCGTCTCTGCTGGGGGCACAGGAGGGAGTCAGGGCCGGCCGTCGAGGAAGTGCGGGCACACCTCGGTGCTCGGAGTGTGTGCAGAGTCTGTGGACACAGGCCGTGTGGGCTCTTGAACGACAGGCCCCTGGGAGTCCCAGGGAAGCTGGGGCTCCCGGTGTTGCCTCTGAGGGCAGCGTTGACCGGCAGACAAGTGGCAGGCCTGGGACGGGCACTGCTGGTGTTGGGCAGGTGTCCTCTCGTGGGTGGGGTGGCGTTTTTCCTCTCCTGTTGGAGTGACGCATTGACGCACCCTCTCGCCCACTCCTCGTCCACGCGGGTGCCCTTCCCTCGCCTCCTGGAGGAGCCTCAGGTCCCTTCTCCAGCCTCCCAGACGCCTGGGGGCAGCCAGACGGGCAGTGGGCACAGCCCGGAGCCTACTGGACATGCCCAGGGTCAGAACAGGGAGGGAAGACGGGCAGCTGGGATACCATGTCCGCTGCGGGGGGCCGTGTCCTGGATGGGACGCTGGGTCTGCAGGACTCCGCCCACATCGCTCTCTGCTTTCTGCGTGTGCTCTCTGTCCGTCTTTAAAAAACAAAGACTTTCTCCATGTGGGGAAGCGCGGGGCTTGGTAGGAGACTCTGTGAGGAGGAGTCTCTGAAAGGTCCAGGGCCTCTGGGGGGCCCTTGCCGAAGGCGGCAGCCCCTGCCTTGACTTTTCCAAACAAGTCCGAGCCCCTGGGTGTTTTGCTGGAGTCTCTACGTTTAGTCTTTAGACCCGACCTTGTAGAAGCATGTGCTTTCTCAAAGGACGCTTACCCTGTGGATTGTGTCTAGAGCAGTGGTTCTCAACCTTCTGGCCCTTTAAATACAGTTCCTCATGTTGTGGTGACCCCCAACCATAAAATTATTTTCGTTGCTACTTCATAACTGTAATGTTGCTACTGTTATGAATCGTCATGTAAATATCTGATATGCAGGATG